TGCAAGGCAAGCGCTCTACCACTGAGCCACCTTCCCAGCCTCCAAAAAGATTTTTTTTTGTTTTGATTTTTTCCCAAAGCTGAGCTAGAGGGTAAGAATGAAGAGCACCTCTGTGTATTTTTCAAACAATGTGGCTGGAGGGAGGGGGAGGGGTGGCGTTAATTAAGTCTCTTGGGCTTGGGAAGGAAAAAGGTAACATCTGGGAAGTCTTCAGTCCTCTGCTCTGAGTGAATTGTGTGCTCCTGGCCAAAGGGCACCACTTAAATGAATTTATCTTGCTGGTCCTGGAGGCCATAGAGAAGGGAGGTGTTGGGCTGGGAAGGTGGCTTAGTGGTATAGCGCTTGCCTTGCATACCTGAGGCCCTGGGTTCTATTCCTCAGCACCACATAAGCAAAAAGCCGAAGTGGTGCTGTGACTCAAGCGCTAGAGCGCTAGCCTTGAGCTGAAGAGCTGAGGGACAGCGCCCAGGACCAGAGTTCAGGCCCCACGACCAGACCCCCCTCCAAAAAAAAAAAAAAAGAGAGAGAGAGTAGGGAGGTGTTCAGAACAGGTCCTAACAGCTCAGAGCTGTATTGGGTTCTGAACAACCACATCACTAGGGTGGGGCTTGAATCTCTCTGCTAGGCCAGAACCTGAGTTTTGTTTTTGTTTTTGGATGGGGAGAATGTTTAATTGTGGATGGAGTCTTTTCCTCCCTTCAAGTCATCTACAAGGATCTATTTAGCTGTAGCTAATACCTGGAGTCTCTACTAAGTAGTGTTGTATCATAAGAACAAGGCATGGGGCTGGGAGTGTGGCTCAGTGGTAGAGTACTTGCCTAGCACGCATGAAACCCTGGGTTCGATTCCTCTGTACCACATACACAGAAAAAGCCGGAAGTGGTGCTGTGGTTCTAGCCTTGAGCAAAAGAAGCTCAGAGACAGTGCCTTGAGTTCAAGCTCTAGGACTGGCAAAAAAAAAAAAAAAAGAACAAGGCAAATAGCAATTGTTTTTTCAGACCATTCTGAGACCTGTAAAGCCAATGTAGTTGCTAGAGCATTTCTTTGGTTTTCCTGTCTTATCTTTAGAGAACAACTGTCTTTTTTCAGGACACAGCCCTGTGGAAGACTGATCAGCTCCTGCAATTCTGAAAGCCATGGCTGTGGTAAGTTGGTGCTGCTTCTTGCCTTCCTCATATTTAATGCTTTTTGCATATGGCCCAGTTACAGTAATGATACACTCCTGTAATCCTGGCTTCTAGGGAGGTAGAGACAGGAGTGTAGCAAGTTCTAAACCAGCCTAAGTTACACAGTGAGACCCTTATCTCAAAGGAAAGAGAAAAAAGAAAAGAGATATGTTTACTTACCTTATCCTGACATTTTGATCTCCATTTTCTCTCATGCTCCATGAATAAATTTATAGCATTTTTTTTTCAACCAGCATTCATATTTTTATTCAGTGAAGTAACTGGGCATCTTTTTTTTTTTTTTCCAGTCTTCTCCTAAAAATGATGACACAAAAGAATCCAGTGAGGGAAGCCAGAGTAGATTTGTAGAATGAACTTGTCTGACATTGCCTGACTCTAAACATGATTTTTACAATGTGGCAATGTGAATCTTAGCTAGAAACAAACATAAACAATCCAAGACTATGGGACAGAGGAGAATTTTCTAAAAAAAAGAGATGGAAGGTGATATTGCTAGTACCAAATGTTAAATTGTTGAAAGATTCCCTCAGTGTGTGAGGGCTTGGGACTGGTGCTGTTGGTGGCTACTACAGATCTTTGCCACTCCATCAGAGCATTCCTTTTAACTGTGTTTTCTAACAAATACCAGAGATAGTAAAGTTTAAGGAGTAAAGGTTGCTTCTAGCTCATACTCCATGGTCGTTTGGATCCATTATTTGGAATCTCTGGTGAGACAACTTACCATGGCAGGAGTGGTATGGTAGAACACAGCCGTTCACCTCATGAGCAGAAAGCAAAGCAAGAAGTAGAAGGGGCCCCAGTTCCGTATCTATTTCAAGGGCACATTATCAATAATTGGAAGACCTTCCATTAGGTCTACTTTTTTTTTTTTTTTTTGGTCTGGTTGTGGGGCCTGAACTCTGGGCCTGGGCACTGTCCCTCAGCTCTTCAGCTCAAGGCTAGCACTCTACCACTTGAGCCACAGTGCCACTTCCGGCTTTTTTGTTTATGTTTATGTGGTGCTGAGAAATCGAACCCAGGGCCTCAGGCATGCAAGGCAAGCACTCTACCACTGAGCCACCTTCCCAGCCCCCTAGGTCTACTTTTTTTTTTATGTCAGTTGTGGAGCTTGAGCTAAGTGCCTAGTTGCTGTCCGTGAGCTCTTTCACTCAAGGCTAGAGCTCTACCACTTGAGCCACAGCACCACTTCTGGTTTTCTAGTGGTTAATTGGAGATAAGATTCTCACAGAGTTTCCTTCCCCGGGCTGGCTTTGAACCACAGTCCTCAGATCACAGCCTCCTGAGTAGCTAGGATGATAGGCATGAGCCTCATGTCCAGCATATAATGCTTTTTAAAGTATTATATTTGGTAATATAGAAAAAGACTATGCCTTGTAATTTATTGATGTCTCTTGAGTTTTTTTCAGACAATAAATAAACTTCATTTGTCTACTGTTTGGCTTTTACTAATTGTGTCCTGGAAATTGTTAGTGAAATATAAAACTTGATGAGCCGGGTGCTGGTGGCTCACGCCTGTAATCCTAGCTACTCAGGAGGCTAAGTTCTGAGGATCACAGTTCAAAGCCAGCCCGGGCAGGAGAGACCGTGAGACTCCTATCTCCAATAAACCACCAGAAAACCAGAAGTGGCGCTGTAGCTCAAGTGGTAGAGCACTCGCCTTGAGCTGAAGAGCTGAGGGACAGCGCCCAGGCCCAGAGTTCAAGCCCATTTAGGAGGTTGAGATCTGAGGATCATGGTTCAAAACCAGCCTGGGCAGCAAAGTCAGTGAGACTTTTTTTTTGGGGGGGGGTCCGGTCGTGGGGCCTGGGCACTGTCTGTCAGCTCTTCAGCTCAAGGCTAGTGTTCTACCACTTGAGCCACAGTGCCACTTCCAGCTTTTTTCTTTTTGCTTATGTGGTGCTGAGGAATCGAACCCAGGGCCTCAGGCATGCAAGGCAAGCGCTCTACCACTGATCCACCTTCCCAGCCCTCAGTGAGACTATCATCTCCAATTAACCACCAGAAAACCGGAAGTGGCGCTGTGGCTCAAGTGGTAGAGTGCTCACCTTGGGCTGAAGAGCTGAGGGACAGCACCCAAACCGAGAGTTAAAGCCCCACAAGTGCTCAGGATGGCTTGCAATTAGGATCCTCAGATCTCAGCCTACTGAGTAGGTAGGATTTCAGGTCTGAACCATTGGCACCCAGCTATACTTTGTTTTTGAAGGGTGGGCAGGATGATATGAATACCTTTTATTGATTTTTATACCTGCTTTTTTAATCTCAAAAAATTTTATTTTCCATTTTAATAATTTTCTATTTTCAATGAGTTACTTAGTAGCCTTGAGGGATTACTATTACAATTGCCTGTAAATTTTTGTAGTTACAAAGCTGTCCTCATGAAATGGACCCAAAATTTATCTTTGGATGTTTAGATTTTACTTTTAAAACATTTAATTACTGAAAGTGTCCCCATTGTCTCCTTGTAAACTATTTTCATTAAACCTAATCCTAACCCTATACAAGAAATATAATTGGTATGAAAATATTGTTTATCTTTCTAGATATGTTTTTTAATACTTGTTAGTGGTACTTTTTATGTAAAAATTATATTTATTCTCTTGCATTATCTTTTTGTAAGGACGTAGGATGGATATAAAATATTTAGATCTATTCCTAAAATGCAGTATGTGTTTAATAAAAGTTTTTATCCATCATCACTATTAGGTTCATTATCATATTTGTCTTCCTTATGCTTTGGGGATGGATATTTTATATGTATATATGAGGTGGTAATGGGGATGGAACTAGGATCTTATGTGTGCAAGGTAGGTGCTCTATCAGAGAACTAAACTCCAATGTGTATAAGGGATTTTTGGCTGTTATTTACAGAAATGAGACAATTTTTTGTTGGGGGGGGTCCAGTCATGGGGCCTGAACTCTGGGCCTGGGCGCTGTCCCTCAGCTCTACAGCTCAAGGCTAGTGCTCTACCACTTGAGCCACAGTGCCACTTCGGCTTTTTTCTTTTTGCTTATGTGGTGCTGAGTAATTGACCCCAGGGCCTCAGGCATGCAAGGCAAGCACTCTACCACTGAGCCACCTTCCCAGCCCAAATGAGACAATTTGTAATGAAAAGAAATAACTATGCTTATCAGAAAGAAAGTCTTTCCCCATCACTCATTATTAATTCAGCATCAAATTGAAAAAAAATTGTGGTTAGTATTTATTTGTACTTTGTATTTTCTGCTTTTCTGAGAATTCCAGTATGAAATCCTGTGGATTGCAAAGGCACACTTGTCTGAACAGCAGGAGATGAGAAAAGTCTCCATATTTTGTTAAGTCATGCTTTGAGAAATCTGTAAGATATAGTAAAAGCTATGTTGAGCTGGGCATCAGTGGCTCATGCCTGTTACCTGAGATCTAAGGATCACAGTTCAAAACCAGCCTGGGTAGGAAAGTCCATGAGATCTCCAGTAAACTACTCAGAAAAAGCTGGAAGTGGCACAGTGACTCAAGTGGTAGAGTGCGAGCCTTGAGCAAAAGGAAGCTCA